ATCAGACCAAGTGCATTATGGGGTTTTTGACAGGGGGAAGCACTTAGAGCAGAATTGTCAGCCTGGCTAAGCAGATATGACCAGTTTCCACAAAAAAAGCCATTTAACAAAAGCCATCTGAATGTGAGAGGTGAATTGTAAAAACCTGAAGTGACAAACTTTGAGGGGCAATGAGTTTTAAATGTAAAGTTAAGTACCGCTCCACATTTCAGAGGTTCGGTTTTTAGAGGTTTTGCCCAAACAGTCATTTACAATATCAAATTAACTGCAGACTAGATATGAAACTTAACCTCCCCCTTTCTTCAAGCTTATTCTTATCCTTCATTCAGAAGCACTATAAGACTATTAAACAAACAAATAAATCAATAAACAAACAAACCTAGCCCTAAACTGGGAAGCTGAACTTGAGAAAAGACATGCTTGACCCCAAGATCTGATTCAGGACTGAGGACAAATCTGACAACCTAGGAGTGACTAAGCAGACGTTTGAGTCAATTTGGAACCAGTTAGGATACTCGGTCCCAGTTGCCCCTAACCCAGCCCCCCCAAACAACATTGCAAGCAGTCCTACATGGGCTTTCTGATTAACTTTTCATTTGGTCTTTATCATAGCAAGATGTCTGCAATGTTTAATTTATGACATCAACTTGCCTCGACCTGAAGACAATGGAGGAAGGAGGGAAAAGCCAAGGGAGAAAGCTGTTTCCCACATGTTGGGATTGGTAAAAAGGCCAGGAGTGACTTCAGTCAAAGGCAAAGGATTCACATTTGGCAAAAAAATGCAGCAAGACAGTAAGATGAACATGGGTCAAGAGGCAGACAGCAGGGATGAAACATAAAGAAGAAAGGAAGAAAAAAGAAAAGAAAGAAAAAACATCCTGGTTCACAATGCTCCAGAAAGGGAGGCCTTTCTAAATATAGAGAGAGTGAGTGAGTGTGTGTGTGTGTATGTGTGTGTGTGTGTGTGTGTGTGTAGAAAAAGGGAGGAGAGAGGGAAAGACAAGAAAGAGAGTGTTGGAAAAAAGGATGAACAAGTGGAGAGAGGTCTCTCTGGTCAGGTGTGGGGAAAGTGAGAGGCAATGGCATCTGATCTGTGAGAAATAGGGGAGATTGCATCTGCTGATATACCCTACTGAATGCCCAGCACTCACATTCTGTGCAACATCTGGTCTGCAGACACCAGCGGACAGACTGTTTTACTCATAATCAGAGGGAGAGAGAGAGAGAGAGAGAAAAGAAAAAAGAGAAAGAAGAGGGAGAGAGGGGGGGAGAGAGGGGGAGGGAGGAGGGGTATGATTTAAGTTCACCCACTCCAGGACCTATACACATTCAGTTGACAGAATTCAACAGTTTTTTTCCTGAGAGTACAAGAGGAGAGGGAGAGAGCAGTGAGGTGATGGGGTTCGGTGTCTGGGGCTGAGGGAGGGCTACTCAAATGTGGTTCAGAACCCGTTATTCATTTATATGAAACTTGAAGTTTGAATAAGAAGTTCTCAGTTGAATTGGTTTTGCATGAGGTAATGTATGAATTATTACAATTGCCCTCAGTCCCACAGCAGCGTATGATTATGGTGCTCTCTGAGCGATTTGGGGCTTTTCCTCCATCATTTTCTCCATTCTGAACCAGAATCGGCCACTCAGCCCACAATGACTCGCTTGCCATCTTTGATCTGAGTGATTCACTATATGCATTCCTAAGGTTTGCAAAGAATCTTAAAGCTCCGACTGTAACGTGGCAAACATCTCACTCTGATCTCAAGAATGAATGTTGGGTGAGACAACCATGAGTTGTTAATTATTTCAGTTTGGTTGCATTTGTTTCATTGTTTCCGAACTGATTTAACTACTTCATGATGTTATAAGGTACATTACCACTACACAACATTAGCCCCTAGTACACAACTTACTTTGAAATGAACATTTCACCAATGTACACCATACACAATTTCTCCAATTCTAAAAAGCGCATCAGTTTCTAGGATTTGAACTGTTATTAATCACTGGCTCTATGAAATGTTATTTTAGCTAGCTTATTTTTCATTGGTGAGAAAATAGCTGTGGAGGACAAAAACATAAACCCCATTTCCATTAGCATGCAAATTTCTCTTTCCACCACAGAGTAACTAAAGGACTAGTGTCTGTTGCCAGTCTTGCACTTACTCTTGCCAAATCATGTCAGGATTAAATAGATACATTTCCTCTGTCCTACAACAGCTGCTTACCTTAAACCTATTTGCCTATTTGCTAGTTTGGTGATATCCATTTTATATTTTACAGACCATCTGTGTTATAGGATACCATGTGTCCTGGCAGTAAACTATCAATGTAAATAAAATACACTACAGTATGAATTTTAAATAAGCTGCATATGACTGTTTAAGCAGCTTTTTTAATCAGATCTTTAATCACATGAAGACCAATCCTTCTTACAAAACAGAAGGAACAAATTTATAAAAAACAAACAAAAACATCAATTTTAACTTTGCCACAAGCTGCTCACAAGATTTTTCTAGCAGCACTCACACACCTGTATTTAATGTGCCTCTGATTAGGCAGGTGTGGTGCAGTGAAATGTGATCTGCTATTGATAGCTTTGAATCCATTGAAGACAAAAGGCCCTTGAAAATTTAACATTGTAATGATCAACACAATCTAACAATTAACAAGCATTCAGTTCCTAGGGGACAGGTGGAGGCTCTGCTTCACAAATCACAAGAATTTCTCTATCTGCAGTTTAAAATTGTCACCATGGCTGTTTTTTTACCAGCTTTTACCATCTATGACTGTTAGACAATTACTATACTGGTGTTGTCAATGAGAACAATCAACATCAAGAAGTTGTATGTCTGCAGAGTAGTAGAACCAAATGGAAAATCAAAATCTACAGTAAATACAGCACAACACCTATCTAGAGTATAGTTTATTTTTCTCCACGCAGGGATAGAGCGTAGCAGACTTTCTCATTACCTTTGATGTGGTTGTTGTAAACACATTTAGGTAAATATTTGTGATAGAAACTGCAGGGATTTTTGCAGTGTACATTATATGTCTTCTTGAAAGAAATATCCTGCTCGCGTGAAGGAAACTGTTTAGAGCGCGTAATTAAGAAGCCTGCTGTTTTTAGCTATAAGTAGAAAGCATGACAGATCTGTGTTGTAAAATTCCAGGGTATGAAAAGTAAAGATAATTACCCTCACCACAACAAAAAGCCAGCTGGGCCAAGAGTGGATTACAGGGGTGTCACTGGAGACATGGTTAGTTAATACTGCAGACTAAGGGCGACAGTTTTCACATGTTATTTGGTTGCTAAGCGGAATAATTTTGCAGAATAATTGTATAAATGCTGGGCAGAAATGAAGAACATGGGCAGATCTTTCATACATAGGTATGTCTTTTAGGAGGCAGGAAGCCATTGTTTGGGGGAAAGGTCACTGAAGGTGTGGGTCCCTGTAAGGACAAAAATGACCAAACAATTGTACAAAACAAAATATGGAGAAGCGCAGCTGGATCTGTGGACGTGGATGGAATGGTTCACGCTCCCAGACAAACAAGTGACACTTTTTGTTTGTTTTTGGGTTTACAGGCTGAGGTTCTGAGGTTCCCCACAATTATGGGTATCTTTGATGGAGAAAAATCTTGGGTATGCTTGATGTTTAAACTTTGATGTTCAACTGTGACTTTGTGCCACAAAATCAGTTTAAGTCACTCCCACAAAGTATTACATCAGACAAGATGTGTAAAATGACTACTCCAGAACTCAAACAATGTGCAATGAAGCATCCAACAAAGAAAACTTTGGAAAGTTGTCGAGGATGAAAGTCCAAGTAATAATTCATTTGTTAATTCAAGGCAGTAATAAATATTTGATTTTGACAGCAAATTATGATGTACTGTACTTTTTATTGATTACAGATTTTGATTGAGAATTCCCTTCATCTTCAGTGTGTGTTGGGTAGACCATGTACAAAGTTCCAAAGATGCTATTTAACTGTAAAACCAGAAATCCGAGAAGTCTTTAAAGGGACCTTTTTACTTTCATCAATGTTTTTTTTCCATTCATAGTCATTTAGCATCTGTTCTTATCCAGAGAAACTTACAGAGTATAAAGTGCACCTAATATGTTCTGAGACAGTAGGATTAATATATGACCAACATCACAAAACACATTTTAGAATATCTGTAATAAATTGTGTATTATATGTTGCATGTGCGCAGGTGACACAGTATCAACAGCACAGCACAATGAATTGGGAAATAATTAAACTACATATTTGGTTGCATTCACCAAGTATTTGCCTTTTTAGCACCAATAAATCTCTTTTAAAGTATCCTTTATCAATAGAAGCTCTGAGAGAATATGCCTCAATGCAAAAAAGCCCAAGTTCTGTTGAACATATCATCAGTGGTCACCAAAATAATTACTTGTGAACACACACCCACGTAGAGAGGTGTCCTGACTGGCTGATTACCTCTTTTCTCTTCTACTCTGCTTTCATTTGCTCATTTGCTCTTTTTTTCTCCAGATTTAACAGGATTGGCTGAGAAGAGGCGGGTCATCATCCAGTCATCCAGCAGTAACCAGGTGATGTTCAGGCTCTGTCAACTTGTCAATGGCACCATTTCCTTTGTATAAGAATGACAGGTGCTTTTTAAAAGTTGTTGCTTTTGAATTTTTTTCCACAACAGTGAGTTAACCTGTGAAGTGCAATATGATATAAAACCACTGAAATGAGCAGCTGTCTTGCTGTATGGACACCAGTGTTCAGCTCCAGATATGATTATCATTAACCATGGTTAGCCTCTCCATATTAAGGATGCCAACACTGACATTTGATGTTGCTATTTTAATACTATAAAGCACAACATGGTACCATCAAAGAATTACTACAATTGAGAGCACATCTTGGGCCTGGAGGCTACAGACTGGCAACTGTGTTTCCTGTTTCTTCACTTGAAAGAACGGACTGTTTTTAATAACTTTATCATGAACACAAAGGCAAGGTGCTGAGACTTAGATGGTTAAAGTGCCTGTCTAGTAAATAGGTGATGCTGGGTTTGAATCCCAACAGTGCCTTTCCCTAATCTTTTAGGGCTTGAACAGTGTTATGCTCACACTCACTGATTTGGGAGTATTGTCAGCCTGGTCTGACACTGTTGCTCATTGAATTTGAATGGATACACCTCTGTTCTTCTGTGCTGCAAGTCACTCTGGATAAGAAAGTCTGCTAAATGTGATGTAATATAATAAAGTCTTCCCACCATCTCATGGAATTTACAGAAATGGGATTAGAAAAAAACAGAGCAACTGAGGTGTTGCTCAAAATCAAGAGGCAGCTGACATCTAATCATGGAACGACAGCGATTCTCAGTGAAGGGGCCGTATGAAACTCCAACATGGTGGCACTGGAGAGCTGGTTCCCATTAGGTCTTCTGTTCTCCTACAGCAGATGAATTTTTGCCCACACTGCTGAACACTCGCTCCACATTCAGCACTGTAGTGAGCTACAGTCATACATCATACACATCAGAGGAGGATTTCTCTGAGCCCCGAGGCCATTGTTGCATCACTGTTATGCCTCTGGTTGATTTTCCTCAATCCTTGGCGTTTCTCAATGAGGAAGAAAAAGGAATCATGTGTCCATCAGCTGTCACCCCGGGTTTAGTTTAGTGGGTGTTATATATTTAGACGGGTGTAACTTCTAACTATGAGAGGCACGTTCAGAGAAAAGAGTGCTTTGTTTCACAACAAGTTGTCTTTGTTACTTTTCCACATAAAAATATCATTTCACTCCTCAAAATGTTTTTCTTTTTTTCCAACCACTGGTATAAATTCATAATGATGCAAACAATGTACATGTTTGTTTTACTTGTCCTTTGGATTCAGTACCTTGAAACCATAATAATTAGATTTTACTTATAGGAAAAGTAGTAACCCTCACTCTCAGAGGTAATCTATGAATTAAAGGATTTTCAAATCAGAATGGCTCCTTTGTTCAGAACAGTACAGAGAGGCATTAAGCTTTAAGACAATTTTGGAGCCTTTATCTGTTTGGTAACAATCATTTTTGCCGAGCGACCACATTATTTTGGCAGAACCAGGACTGAACACATTGTAATGGTTGTCATGTGAGCTGTGTTCTTTCTCGTAGTGGTTCTTTGGTTCCTCTCTGGCTTTTGTACAGTGACAAGAAGTAACCACAACTGATTAATGCTCAAAACAAACTCCTGCTTTCTCCTCTGCTTCTCTGACTTGTTTATTAACTCAGTTGAACAGACAGCAGAGCCCAGTTTTTTCTCTTTGTAAAGTACAAGAAATGTGACAAAGCAGCAACAGAGCAATTTTACTCCCTCACACACACACACACATACTCACACAAGCATACACATCAATACATGTGTACATCCACAAACAATTGCATGCACACAGACACACAAGCATGCACAAGTACACACACAGACACACAGACACACACACACACATGCACACACTCAAGCACACACAGCTAAACTTTATTACGTATGGCGGGGTCATGACTTACTTTTTATGACCCATAACTTGTCCCCCACACGCATGCCTCTAGAGCATGGATTGCAGCATGGGTACATTTGGGGCATAATTCTCTTCTCTTTTTCACATGGTGTTTATAACAATGCTTATTTCACAAACCATGCAGGGAAGACATTGTTTCTGCAAATGTGATATGGAGTGCATGAAGCTCATATTTGTGTTTTAAGATGCTGTAACAGTGTTTATTTCAGATCTCTACATTTAAATTTTGTAAACTTTGCTATGAAAAAGTCTTGGGCATTTTGCATTTTCATTTTCTGGAAACTAATGGAAACTAAAACTATTTAAATATGTTTTAGCCTCTATTTCTTGGTCCCCTCAGGAAACAGAGCTTTTTTACCCCAACACATCCTTTCAACACTGATTTCATGAGGAGCCTTTGTATTGTTGATGGATTGACGATGACACCTAAGCCTTCTGCCAGTTCTGTTGTCAGTTCAGGTCTTGCCTTCTTTCTGTTACTTAAGGATAATAACTTCAGTGGTACCTTCAAAAGTACATTCAGTGCTCTTAATAACATTTTTGACAGTCTACAATGACATGTTTTCACTGTAGTTCATGCCAAGAAACGAGCTGCAATTCTTTTAATTACGGACAAAGGCTTTCATTATGACTTTTTATTTAATTAGCATCATATGTTCAGACCAATTTACTTGATGTGGTGCACCTGGTACTTACACATCTGTTTAGTGCCCGTTGTTGTGAACCCTACTTTTGGCACTTTACATTGAATTTCACAGTGTGGGTTTGGAGAATATGGACCGTGGAGAGTGTTGGGTTTTATTTGTACATGACAAGTATGCTAGCTCAGAAGTGCAGCCAGCAGGAAAGCTGGTGAGACTGAGTTAAAGCCTCAGCTAGATGGCAAGGAATATGCACGCACAGAGCTAGATCATTTTTATAACATTTTAAGCCTCCAAAGAGCAGAGCTAGACACATCTGAAGCATGCCTTATTTGCGTTTGTATACATACCCTAATGTGTCAAGATCAGTCAGTTAATTTATATAATTTGGATGAGTCCTCTAGGAAACTTGGTGGCAAGAAGTTTATGTAGGGTATTCCTTTGCTGCACCCAGGTAAATGTGCTGGCCTCTAGCCAAGTCATGTCTGGGCTGGGTCTTCAGGTCAGGACTTGAACCAGCCAACACAAGAGGTGTAGGTAGTCTGGCCAGTGACATACCTCGTGACTGATGAAACAGGACCTTGGTGTGACTCACTCAAGAGGCCCGAAATAAAGAGAGCGACGAGTTCTTCCTTTCAGATTCCTTACCTGTGCAACATTTGCTCTTCATCCTCTACTCTTGCACCCTTTCCTTAAGGAAATGCACAGCCCTGCAAATGATTCAGTGCACAGCACTGTGCTGAGGAACCTTCAAAAGTTCAGAAAATCAACACCAGCTGCTCTTTGAGAAGAAATCCACATGTTGTGTTTTCAAAGGACTAAGGAATTCTATTTTTGAATCCATGTCTAACATTGCTGAACAATGAAAATCTCCAGCTAATGCATGTATGACTCTAACAGGAAAAACACAAAAGCTCATGTGTAGAATGGATGCTTTCTCATGGCAAGGACAGAATGGGGCTGTGCTAGTGTTTGGGGTGTTTTTTACACTTTTGGTAGTGACCCTCAAGGGGTCCTCTGTAACATCCTCCAGATGAGCCTGACTGGAAATGTGATTGTGAGGCTGATTTTGATAGATAGAGGACAAGGCAATATTTTCTGTAAGAGATCCCAAGAGAAAGTTAAGGGTTACCAGGCTATCCCAACAGCTTTCCACCCACATGTACTGGACCACATGATCTGTGACATCACAATGCAGATCTTCATACAGCTATCCACTGCAGTCATGATATGATGCAGCAGATAAGTAGAATCTATGCATCTATGGGTCTTATGGATCTATGAATTTTTCATCTCTGGTGTGGTACTAAGATTTGCAGTTTCCTTCTCTAAGTACTTTGATCTTTTTTATAAAAAATTTGTGAACAGTTATTGTGCATGCAGGATTTGTGATTAATTGTCCCTGGGGAAAACACCTAAATTTAAAATGTTGATTTTTTTTAAAGGAAAAGATCATCCAAATGGCTTTCTTCCCGGCTATTTACATATTAGGCTGTAATATGTACCTGCAGGCAAGAAAAGATAGAAGATAAATGAGGAATGCATGGAAGAGCCATGTTTTTTGTAGAGTATTTTGTATATTAAACGATGCGTTATGGGTATTTTTATAATGCGTCTGTTGGAGCATGCTACTCAACTGGTAGCCAGGAGCTGTGGAAAGCATGGCACGCAACCATGTTAAACAAGCTGTAACAATCTTAGCAACTGCAGTCATCGCCATCCATTCACATGCTGGAACTCAATGTTTGCCTAGAACTTACTGCTAAATGTTTTAATGTATGGTGTTTTTTTAATATGTGAATGGCCTTGGGAGATTCTGAAAGATGAAAAGTGAGGAAACTGACGAGCAGGACATGGGTGCCAGGAAAAAGTGGCTTTTTCAGCTCTGAGTTGCTGAGTCGAGTAGCAACATAAGCCTCAGAACTGAAGGATTGTCAGCCAGGGAACTGTTATTTCATGTTTGAGCAACGAACACGTGTGCATTTCCCTTGTTTTGTGTACACATATCTTCAGATCTTAAACGTCCCATGCAGTTTGCTGCACAGCTAATCTGAGTACCATTTCAGTTTCATTTCTAAGTTTCAACCTTCGCAGAAGAAGATGGTTCATATGGTGTGACTGTCTGGTCAAGCTTGTCCCTGTAAGTAAGCAGTCCAGCTACAGTCCTTCCACTGGAATCCTTCCTCAGTGCCCCTCCCTCAGGCTTGGACCCTGCTCACATACCATACCCCCCTTTGACATTTCCTGCAAAAAAGAGAAATGTTTAACTGTGCCATCTTGCCATGTGAAAAGCTATCTTTAAATTGGATGAAAAGCAAAGACTTGGTCAAATTAAAAGTATAAAGAAGGAAGAAGAGAACAATTTCAACTATACTTAATGAAATGGAGCATTTGGGAAATCTAAGCTACTTCGATCAAGCAATAAATCAAACAATCAATCAATCAGTTTTTCAACCATTCAATTAATCCATGTTTCTTGCATACTTAACAATAATAAGTGCTACACAAAGAAAACCAATGATGAAAGATAATAAATAAACATATAAATAACAAGGTTGTACCAAAAAGAATAGTTAAATAAAACAGCAATTTGGTGCAAATGGGGTGTTAAAAAAGACCGTTGGAGGAGAACTTAACTTTGAACTTCTACTGAACTTTGAATCTGTCATTAACTCTCAGTGGTTTGGCTTAGCTTATGTGTTCAGGCCATGCTAAAACTTGCCATTTGGCAGAAAATACAGCAGAGGATAACATACTGATGGTGTTTGCAAGGCTGGTTTTGAATAGACAAAAAATAACAAATTAAGAAATTGTCTAAAAATGAAAAAACAAAATCAGACTATTTTTAGGGCTCTGCCTATACCCTTAGACACTACAAAATAA